ACAATGCGGGAGTGCTTCACTTGTGTTCATCATCCTGTTCCCGTCTGTCTTCCACATCACACAGTAAACCCACACAAACACACGCAGACAAGTGAGCATACCACTACGCTAACGCACGCACACACAAACACACGCACATCCTCTGCTTGTCTTGCGTTCGACATGGCACAGAACCATTGTGCTGCAGCACTGTCCCGGCACGCAGATGGTTGCCGACGCGCTGACCAAGGCACTGGACAAGCAGACCTTCGAGCAGCACCTGCCACGACTGGTGGGAACCTCGACGGCTGAGACGGAGCAGAGGAAGGCAGTTGAGGGGGAGTGTTGAGAGTCAGTGAGTTTCTGTTTTGTGTTGAGTCCTTCCTAATTTGCCTTCTCGTGTGGTTTTGTCTTGTTTGCCAACAACACCTGCTTTGTGGTTTTTCCGTTGGCAAACATTCCTTCCTCTCTGCTGGCATGCATGTGTGCCAACTGCCTCTCCTCTCCTCCTCCTTCTGCACACGTGAGTTGTGTGCCATGTGTGCCATGTGTGTGTGCATGCCCGTCATGTTTGGCAAATGCCATGCCTGCGTGCCATGTAGTGTTGTGAAGTGTTGTCTGTTGTGTATGCTTGCCTGCAAGCATTCATGCCATGCTTAGCATTGCTCTGCGCGCATGTATGCATGCTGCTCATTGTTTAGATTGCTTGTGTTCGTGCACACTCTGCCCATGTCGCCTTGGCAGCGTCATTGACTGTGTGTGCACTTGTCGAGTGTTTGTTTGAGCGTGCTGCCCGAGTTGATTTGGCAGCAGCTTGTTGTACTTGTGCATTCTCCTTGTGTTCTTGTTTGTTGCGTTTGCCTACAGTAAACACACACAACACCTGTCGTGTTTCTACACCGTCTTCAAGAGCCAGGACTTCACCGACCTGTGCCTGGCCTTCGACATCAAGCAGCGCTTCTCGCCACCGCACTCGCAGGCCAAGAACGGATCCGCGGAGCGCACTTTCCGCACCCTCTTCGAGACGGCGCGTACGATGCTGTTTGCTGCGGACCTGGACAAGCCGTTCTGGGGCTTCGCCGTGCAGCACGCCACGCTGCTGCACAACATCGCGCCACGCAGGAGCCTCAAGGACAAGTCACCCTTCGAGGCCCTGATTGGGCACGCCTTCGACGTCAGCCTGTTGCGCGTCTTCGGCTCGCCGGCCTACGTGCATGTGGAGAAGAGCAGCACGCGGCACAAGCTTGACCCACGCTCACGCGTCGGCGTCTACGTCGGCTTCGCCGAGGAGGACCAGGCCCACGTCGTCTGGATGCCGGACACGCGACGCGTTGTCCACACCATCCACGCACGCTTCGGCGCCATCAAGAACAAGGACGCCGCCTCCTCTCAGCAGCAGCAAGAGCAGGACGACAGCAGTGCCTCTGCTTCGCATGCCAACAAGACCGCTCAGCGTTCGACCGAGGACAGTGCCACCGGCGCTCCCACTGCACCACGTGCGGGGGAGCCGCAGCTCCAGCCACGCGCCCTTGGCGGCTCCGTCTGGGACCAGCTGCTGGTGTCCGAGACCCTCGGCGACAAGGACACCTCTGGTGGCTCAACCACCACGTGTCACGTTGCCACCAGCGCTGCTGGTACGGGGGAGAAGATATCAGCAGTGGGTGGTCATCTACCAGACATCGCTGCTGGCAGTTTTGCCACGTCAGCTGAGCCAGCCACCGTCAAGGAGGCGCTTGCCTCGCCAGACTCTGAGGAGTGGCGCCAAGCCATCCTGGACGAGTTTGCGGCAATGCAGGCCAATGACGTCTACGACGTCGTGCCTCGCGCTGACCTTCCCAAGGGCCACAAGCTGCTCCGCAGCATGGTCATCTTTCGGAAGAAGCGTGACGACCAGGGCAAGGTGATCAAGTACAAGGCGCGCTGGGTTGCCAAGGGCTACTCCCAGGTCCACGGTGTCAACTACACGGACACCTTTGCCCCGACGGCTACCATCGCAGCCATCCGCACCATGCTCGCCATGGCCGTCGCGCGTGGCATGGACATCCAGCAGATGGACGTCAACACGGCGTTCCTCAACGCGCCCGTGGACCACGAGATCTACGTCCAGCCACCGGCCGTCGACGGCATCTTCTCGCCGAATACAGTCCTGCGCCTCAAGCGTGGGCTGTATGGCCTGAAGCAGAGCCCGCGCTTATGGAACCACACGCTGGACGCCTGGATGCGCGAGCAGGACTTCGTCGCCACAGCCACGGACACCTGCATCTACCGCCGCACCTGCAAGGGTGGCAAGGTGATGTGGGTTGCCGTCTACGTGGATGACCTGCTCATCTTCGCCGACAGCGACAGCGACATGGCCGCGTTCAAGAACTCCATCTCCAAGCGCTTCAAGATGAAGGACCTGGGCAGTCCAGACATATGTCTCGGCATCAAGGTGCAGCACGACCACAAGGCCAGGACCGTCACCATGAGCCAGGAGCACTACCTGCGCAACGTGCTGGAGACCTTCGGCATGGCTGACTGCAAGCCTGTCGGCACGCCGCTCTGCACGGGCTACGTCGACAAGCCAGCCGACAAGGAGGAGCC